TGGAGACAAGTTTAGTCTTATTTGGTTGAGTTTGAGATCCTTGTAAGCCATCAAAGTGGAGATGCTTTAGGAGCAACTGTATGTAGAAAACTGGAGGTAATTCTAAGTCATAAATATTGGTATGCTTGTCCTCAGCCTATAGAAGGCTATAGAAACATAGAGTGAAGGAGATTGGTTTTAAAAAAGAAGAGAGCCCTAGCCGGTGTGGCTCAATTGGTTGGAGCATCATCCATGCATCAGAAAATCTCTGGTTCAATTCCCAGGCAGGACACATACCGAGACTGCAGGTTTGCCTTGGTTTGGGCACATATGGGAGGCAACCGATCAATGGTGTGTCTCTCTCATATCAATGTTTCTCTCTCTCTCTCTCTCTCTCTCTCTCCCCCCCCCCCTCCATATTTTAAAAAAAAACAATAAAAAAAGAAAGAAGAAGAAGAGAGCCTGGGTGTAAGCTTGGAAGACACCAACTTTTAAAGGGTGGATAGGAAAAGAGGGGCCCAAGAACACGTGGCCAGAGACATAGGATGAAATTTAGGAAGAGATTTGAATCAGATCCAAGGGGAAAAGGGAGAATTTTTAAAAGTTGAATTGTTTCCAGACACCTGAGGGGCTGGCTATCCCAGAAAAAGAGCGAACAACTGTGTTTTCTGAGGCATCAGTGGGGAGGACTAAGACCAAAGGGTAGAAATTCCAGGGAAACAAATTTTGGGTCAATATAAGGAAGTCTTTTCTAGCAGGCAGAATTAGGCATTCCCAAAGTTAAGCAGGGAACTCCCTGTCACCGGAAGTATACAGAGGCAAAGTATGCCAGGGGATTATAGAAAGAGTTCCCTGCCCGGCCAGTGTGGCTAAGTAGTTGAGCATTGACCTATGAACTAGGTCATGGTTTGATTCCAGGTCAGGGCACCTGCCTGGGTTGTGGGCTCGATCCCCAATAGGGGCTGTGCAGGAGGCAGCTGATAAATGATTCTCATCATTGCTGTTTCTCTCTCTTTCCCTCTCTCTTCTTCTCTGAAATCAATAAAAAATATTTTTAAAATAGATTTTATTGATTTTTTTACAGAGAAAGGAAGGGAGAAAGATAGTTAGAAATATCGATGAGAGAGAAACATCGATCAGCTGCCTCCTGCACACCCCCTACTGGGGATGTGCCCGCAACCAAGGTACATGCCCTTGACCGGAATCAAACCTGGGACCCTTCAGTCCACAGGCTGATGCTCTGTCCACTGAGCCAAACCAGTCAGGGCAATAAAAATATTTTTTTAAGCAAAAAGAGTTCCCTGACCTGGGTAGAAAATGGGACTGATTAGCCTCTGAGAACTTTCCTCCTCAGTCTCTCGGGAACATTTTCACAGTGTCTACATACAACTACATAGTGACTTATCTCTCTATAATAATACCAGTAAAAGCGGAATATGCTAATTAGACTGGATGTCCTTCCGGACAACCTTCCAGATGAAGCCAGAGCTGCAAGGGAAGCCTGGAACCCAGGTGCCTGCGGCAGCTGGAGGGAAGCCTGTGCCGGCAGCCAGGGGAAGGAAGGCCTACTCTTGCACGACTTTCAGGCATCGGGCCTCTAGTATATATATAAAAGACTAAGTGACCGTTATGACCGATCGACCCAAACAACTGTTCGACCAGTTGATATGATGCACACTGACCACCAGGGGGCAGACGCTCAACACAGGAGGTGCCCCCTGGTAGTCAGTACACTCCCACAGCCAACCTCCCACAGCCCCTTCCTTCTTGCCCCCCTTCACCCCACTGGTCAACCTCCCGCGGCCCTCCCCCTGCTGGCCAGCCCCCCCATAGCCCTGATTGGGAGGCTGGCCAACTTCCTGCAGTCCCTAACCCTGCTGGCCAACCCCCCCCCCATAGGCCCTGATTGGGGGGCCAGCCAACCTCCCAGGGTCCCTCCTGTGGGCAGCCGGCCCCCCAATAGGCCTTGATCACCGGCCAGGCCGAGGGACCCCACCCATGCATGAATTCTTGCACCAGGCCTCTAGTTTTATTATAAGAGCCCTCCTCACTTTCTTATCAATGGACAAAGGACCTCAAAGATCACTAGAATGCAAGCTCTATGGTGTGGTAAGAGGGTGGGAGGAGTGACTTTGGGTGGGGATGACTTGGGCTGAGAACTATATGCTGAGAAGGACTCATCCCGGTGGGAAACTTAGGGAATTCTATGCTCTTCAGAAGGCACAGCAAATGCCAAAACTAAGAACAAAGACAGAGCTGGGAGAATTGAACAAATAGGAAGAAGGCCAGTATAGCTGGACCAAGTAATCAAGGGAGAAGGGAGTGGGAGGAGACGAGGACGGAGAGGGGAGCAGGGCCAGCAAGGATAGTTTTAGGGGACATTGTTAGAAGGGAGGTGTTTATTCTAAGAGCACTGAAAAGCTGTTACTAAAGCCATTGGAGGTTTCAGATGGGGGAGTGACTCTTCTGTTGTAGACCATAGATTTGGGGGCCTAGAAAGGGCACAAGTGGAAGTAGTGAGAGCAGTGAGGAGCATATTTTAAATGTGTCCCCATGGTCTGCAAGGTAAAGTTTAAACCCTTTTGCCTGGCATTAGAGAGGACTCCAACTTTATTCTCATTAACCTCCTCCTTCACACACAATGTGCTTCCAACTTGTGAAAATGTTGCTGAAACCGGTTTGGCTCAGTGGATAGAGCGTCGGCCTGCGGACTGAAGGGTCCCGGGTTCGATTCCGGTCAAGGGCATGTACCTGGGTTGCGGGCACATCCCCAGTGGGAGATGTGCAGGAGGCAGCTGGTCGATGTTTCTCTCTCATCGATGTTTCTAACTCTCTATCTCTCTCCCTTCCTCTCTGTAAAAAATCAATAAAATATATTTAAAAAAAAAAAAAAAAAAAAAAAAAGAAAATGTTGAGTAACCCTGAAATCCCCAAATCCCACCCCACGCCCTGCAATGTTGCCCACATCCGTCCCTCCGCCCCTTAAAACCAGACTCATTCTCGAAGGTGCATGTCTGTCCCCGCTCCATGATGGGTCTCTCCTTCTGTGCTTCTCCCCTGGCTGAGAGTATCTCATTATCCCTCTGGCTACCCTACCTTGTTCGGTGCCAGTGTACTGTAGCTGGGCACCCAGCCTTGTTTGGATCTGCACCAGGCCAGTGCCACGCCCTGGGTGATTCTCAGTCAAAGCTGATTTGACGAATGACTGAATTCTCAGGAGTACTCAGCATCTTGTCCTCAGAGACATGATAAGCGGGTTGTTGAGAAGCACTCGTTTATGTCCACACTGATGGGCACTCATTGTTTTCTGACGACAAAAGGAACACATGGGCATGTAAAGAGACTTCAACAAATGTGTTGCATGTTCATTTTGTGTCAGACTGGACACTGGGAACCCATGGGAACTAAGACACAGTCCTTGTCACTGAGAAACTCACAGGCTGTTGGGAAGGAAAAACTCAGAACGCATCTTTATCCAGAAAAAAATGGTCAATGCAATGATGGGGCTAAGCATGGGGCTGTGGCAAACTAGAGGGGACACGAGGCAGGGATTGGAAAGGCTTCAGGGGATGGCGATGCCTTAGCTGACTCTGGAAGGATCAGTACAAAACAATCGAGTGAAACAGGGACACGAGAAGAGCATTCCAGAGGGAGGAAACAGCATGGCTTTGGGGGGAGTAGGAAGGGGTACCTGAGGAACCACAGTCAGATACAGTTTGAATATAAATACATGGTGAGGCAGAAGGAACAAGTGAAGGAGAAATTAGAGAGGCTGGTAGGGCTGGGTTGGGCTGGGTTGGACAGGTGGGGTCAGGTTTAAAAGATTGAACTTTATTCTGGAAGCTAGTTGGCAGTAATGGAAGGGCTGTAAGCAGAATCCCATATGCATTTGATCTTCAAAACAGCTTTGTGAGGTACCTAGAGCAGAGTTTATATCATTTTAGGCATAAAAAAAATGGAAACTTGGCAGAAATCAGTGACCGCCTTGGGATAATGGCTAAGAGCACAGCTCCGGGGCCAGGCAAACCAGAGTTCATGTCCTAGCTCTGCTACTTATCATCTGTGTGACCTTGGGCCTCTCTGGGCCTTAGTGTCCTTATCTGTAAAATGAGTATAGAACCAACCTGTTCGTCTGTCCATTTGTCATTCACTCATTCACCAAATACTTACTGAGCTCCCACTTGGCCCTGTGGAGGTGCTGGGCTTGAGAGGTGAGGGAGCAAGAGAGATGAGGCCCTGGTTCACAATCTATTAAAACAACAACGACATCAACCAGTTGGACCAGGAGAGTCAAACACAAAGGTCTGTCTGAACAAGACACATGAAAAAGAACTGAGACAACAGGGAATGGTGGAGAGCATGGCAAGCTGGAGAGGGCATGCCCCAGCCTAAAGTAACTCAAATCGGAAAATTTTAAAGAATGTCAAATAAAAGAAGACCCCAAGCTCATTAAGCATGAGGGCTGCCAGTGCAACCCTTCATTTACATACTTGTGATAAGTGGTCCCAAAGGAAAAGTATGGGTTGTGTTATGCAGAGATAACATGAGGATATACGAGAGTCTGGGAGCCGGAGAGGTAACATTTGGTCTGAGATCTGGAGGATGGAGGAGGAGTGAAGAAGGAATGGATGGGGGAAGGAGAATTCCTGACCGAGGGAACAGCATGTGCAAAACCCTTGGGCAGGAAGAGGCTTAGATCATTCAGGGATCATTCCTAGAAGCCAAGGTCTCTGGGACATAGTAAGGAAAGCTGAGCAAGTAATGAGGCAGGAAAGGGTGGCAGAGAAGGGTCATGGGACCTTACTTTGGAAAGTCGTGGAAAGGTATCAAAATGGCCGAAGGGTGCGTACATAAAAAAATAACAGCACGCTACTGTGAACAAAGCAACTCCAAAATGGACTGATCCCAAACATCTCCACCACTCAGTAAGTAGGTATTATCCCCAGTTTACACACGAAGAAATTGAGACAAGGAGAGGCTAAGGAACTTGCCCAAGACCATGCTGTCAGAAGTGGCAGGGCCAGGACCCAGACTGGAGCATTCTGGCATCGAGGCCTCTGCTCTTAACAGCACTATGCTGCTTTGGATGACCAGAGCAGGTAAGAACGGCATTTGAAAAAGATCATTCTGATTGCCCACTAGGAGTACTGGGGAGTTGGAGTAAGAGTAGAATCTGAGCCCTAGCCGGTTTGGTTCAATGGATAGAGCATCGGCCTGTGGACCAAAGGGCCCCAGGTTTGATTCCGGTCAAGGGCACCTACCTTGGTGGCAGGCTCCCCGCGCCATCCCTCTCCCCGCCCGGGCTCTGGTTGGGGCTCGTGCAGGAGGCAACCAATCAATGTGTTTCTCTCATATCAATGTTTCTCTCTGTCTTTCCCTCTCTCTTCCACTTGCCCTAAAAATCAATGGAAAATATCCTTGGGTGAGGATTAACAACAACAACAACAAAAAAGAGTAGAATCTGATGAGACAATTAAATAAGAGAAAGCTCACAAAGCCCTTAGCATAGTGCCTGCCGTGGGAGTCACAGGTAATTGTCTTCATCATTATAGGAAGATGATGATAAAGCTGGGCATGGAAACCAGGTGCCCCGGGGCCCAGCCTGGTGCTAAAGAGTTTTTCCCTCCTGACTCCTTTGTCCTCTTCCTGAAAGAAACTCACGTTTTAACGATCTTCCCCCAAGGATTCTGCCAGTCTCAGACCTCCGCTAGTGATGAAGATGCCAGCAGGGGTCCCGTCTTCAACCCTGAACTGGTCATTGCCCACTGCTTCAAGCAGTTCAAGCAGAAGGACTTCCACCTGCCTCGAAGCCGCCGGCGGATCATCATCTTGCCTCGAGAGGAAGATGCGACTTCCGTTGTCAATCCAACACCACAGCCCCAGGCTCCCTCACAAATCATCCCCAGCTTCAAAGCCCTGGAAGCCAGGGATGTCCAAGAGCCCCCGGAGGATGTGAGAACCTGGATGAGCCAGAGGTTGAAATTTCGGCAGGAACTAGAGTCATGTGTCAACGTAGACAGGTGGCTGCAGAACAAGTCCAGCCTCACGCCTTCAGAGGCCAAGATCTTACGCATGACCCAAAAGGAGCACCCTGTGGACCCGCTGATGGCCCACTTGATTCCTCCCAGCCCCACCAAGGTGAGCAGCCCCATTTGCCAGATGAGGGGATGAGGGGCAGGATGGGGATCATTCACCCCATTTCACAGAGCAGCAAACAGAAGTCCTTAAACAGAGGTGCATTAGTTATCTATTGCTGGGGAACAAATACCCCAAAATGACTTAAAGCAGCAAGGGCTTATTTTCTCACTCTTTCTGCAAGTCAGGAATCTGGGAGGAGCTTAGCTTGGTGGCTCTCACTCAAAGTCTTTTCATCTCAGGATGCTGGTGGGGGCCACAAACATCTGAAGCTTGACTAGGGTGGGAGGATTCGCTTCGAAGCAGTTTGCTCATGTGGCTGTTGGCAGGACACCTCAGTTCCTAGCCACACGGACCTCTCCCTAGGGCTGCCTGAGTGTCCTCACCACATGGCAGCGGTGAATGGTCCAAGAGAAAACAAGGAGGAGGGTGCAGTGCCTTCTAGAACCTGTCTCAGGAGGTCTCAGTTTCAGCAGCTTTGCACTGTTACCTCTCTGTTTGTCAGAAGCAAGTCACTAAGTATTGCCTCCACTGAGGGGAGGGGAATTCGTCTCCATCTCAGAGGGGAGGAGAGTTGAAGGATTTGGGGCTATATTTAAAAACCACCCCAGGAGAGAGAATGACTTTACAGTTTGCTACAGGCCGTGAATAGCACAGAGGAGCTGTAAGCTAGGGAACAGGAAGGCCCTTTGTAAACTGCCAGGTGCTGCAGCAAGGTAAGGCAGTGTTATTTCTAAATGTTCCCATTCACCTGGAATTGGAGGAGGAGGACGACGATTTGGACAGGTAGAGAAAGAAGAAAAGGCATTTACTTAGGCAGAAGGCCCAGCTGGAGCAAAGGCCGGAGGTGGGAGATCTGGCTCCAAGCAGAAGCACGTATTTTGGTGCACTGAGAGCCCCGGGGGATTATAATACTGACGGGTCTGACCAGAGAGATGTGGATAAGAATAAAATTCTAGCTCTCATATTGTCCAAGCCTCTTGTTTCTGTTGAGGCCCAGCAAAGCAAAGTCTCCCAGGAGTTCTGTGGCAGAATGCAGTTGTCCTGCGGTTGCCTGAATCCAGTGTTCTACGCACTTTATGTTGCTGTCTGTTCAGAGCTGCTCAGCCTCTCCCTCTCCCATTTCTCCCTAACTCTGGGGATCATGTTTCATTGGCCTGTCTCCCCTGAACTCTCCCTTCTGTCCCACTTGCTTTCCTCATTCAGAAGAAAATCGTCCGACCGTTCCACCAACCGATACCCCAGCTCCGACTGCCCAAGCCCTCTGCCCTGTTTGTCTTGTACTCCTACCTGCGCAGCCACAACATGAAGATCCTGGATATATTTGCCAGGGTGGAACAGGGCAATAACCAGGCGATCTCCAGGGAGCTGTTCATTATGGCTCTGAAGGTGGTAAGTACCTCCCGTGCTCCCTCTAGGCTGGCCTAAGTGGGGAGGGAGTCCATGCTGCCACCCCTGACCCTGGACCAAGTGAAAAGGAAACTCGGGGAACTCAAACTATCAGTCTTATCACTTGCAAAGCCAGATGGGAAAATGCGGTTTAACCTGCAGCCACATCAAACCCCTAAAACCACCCCCTGCACTGGTCTGACCTTGAAAGTCTGAGTGGAAAGTCTGCAGAGCTGGCCCCATAATCAGCCAGCTGCCCATCCTTGCCCTGAATTGAGCACTGAGATTGCTGGGACTTCAGTCCTGCCTCTAGAACCTTCTAGAGCTTTTCCAACTGTCACTGGCATATGAATCACATAGAATCACATAGTCTTATGAAAATGCAGCTTCTATTTGACCCAGTGATCCCACTTCTAGGACTATATCCCAAGAAACCAGAAACACCAATCAGAAAGGATATATGCACCCCTATGTTCATAGCAGCACAATTCACCATAGCTAAGATTTGGAAACAGCCTAAGTGCCCATCAGCAGATGAGTGGATTAAAAAACTGTGATACATCTACACAATGGAATACTACGCCGCTATAAAAAAGAAGGAACTTTTACCATTTGCAACAGCATGGATGGAACTGGAGAACATTATGCTAAGTGAAATAAGCCAGTCGGAGAAAATAAATATCACATGATCTCACTCATATGTGGGATATACTGATCAACATAATTTGATGAACAAGAATAGATCCAGAGACAAATGGTAGGGGAGGAGGGGTTAGAGAGCAACCAAAGGACTTGTATGCATGTATATTAACATAACTAATGGACACAGACACTGGGGCGGTGGGGGCTTGCCTGGGGTGGGAATGGCTGGGGGGAGAGGGGTCAATTGGGGAAAAGAAGACATATGTAAAACTTTAGACAATAAAAAAAAATACTAAAAGAAAGAAAAAGCAGCTTCTGACTCAGTATCTCTGTGCAGCTCCCAGTGATACCCTTGGTACTGGACCACAATTTCACTGGCTATTCCAAATGTAAATTAATTATAAATAAAATGAAAAGTCCAGTCCCTCAGTCGCACCAGCTACATTTTGAGTTCTCAATAGTCGCATGTGGTAAGCAGTTCCTCTACTGCAACACACAGATTGAGATCATTTCCATCATTATAGAAGGTTCTGTTGGCTGTGCAGGGGCGTGCTAACTATGGCCCTGGAGTCAAATCCAGCCTGCTCCCTCTTTTTGTAAATAAAGTGCTACTGGAACACAGCCACACTCAGTCATCTAGGGATTGTCAAGGCTGCTTTCATGCTATGATGGCAGAGTTGAGTGCTTATGACAGAGACCATACGGCTCATGGAGCCTAAATATTTACTATCTGGCACTTTACAGAAAAAGTTTGCTGAATTAAGTTTGTATATACTTCAAATACAAGGTTCCTTGTAAAATAATTCTAGAAAGCTGATGCCACACCTTTTATGATTTTAAATCATCCCAGTTTTCACATCATCATTTTATGACATGTACTTATCTGAACATTTCAAAGCATTGAAAACAACAAAAAGATAAATTGTTTTTCATCATAACCAAGATGACAAAACATTAAATCTTTTCATACTTGGAGAGTTCTGATCTGCTTTATAAAAAGCTCAGTAACAGTGACTGCTATCTAAAGAAGCTGAAGAACAAAATTATATTCCTTTTAAAATGTTTCTTCTTGAATATTTGTCAGGCTGGTAAGCACTGTGCTCCTGCAAAGTTGCTCATTCCTTAAAAGAGTGATATGTATTGTATTTTTTATCCTATTTACCCTCAGTTAAGGGAGGCTTATGTGTCCCTCGTGGGCAAGGATGATAGACATGTGAAATCCTTCTTCAAATCTATCATAGGAAAGCTGGCATTGGCATTGATAAGAAGTCAGGTGGGAGCCCAGAGTAAGATGTAACAGATTCTGCAAAGATGATGGCATATCTGGACTGGGTTTTGAAGAAGGGATAGAAGTTTTTCAGGCTTTGAAAGGGAGGCATTTGAGTAATGGGAAGGGTGAGAAATTGAGGGGTGTGTTTGCAGCCAGGAAAGGGCTCTGAGCTCTTGTGGCAGGGACCTTGGAGCTGGGAATGGCTGTAGATAAAACCAGACTACAAGGTGGGGCCAGGCTGACGAGGCCTTGGCCATTCTGATAGGATATTTGGATCGGAGCCTGTCCAATTTGGGTCTTCTCTTCTCTCTTCAGCTTGAAGTCCCTCTGGGAAACCAGGAGATAGAGGATATTGTGATCTATCTCAGCTCTCTGGGGAAGCACAACAGCATCACCATGGATAGCCTGAGCAACACCTACAAGCAGTGGTCCTTGGCTCAGCAGAAAAGCATGCTGAGAACTACAAAGGATTGTAGGTATCCACCCCCACCCCCGTGCCTTCACTTCCCCAATCTTGGAGCAAGCATGGTAGAGGCAGCCTTGGCTCATTTCCTGAGTGTGTTCTCCAACTTTGGCTTACTGTAGGTAGGCCAAGCCTCTGGAATGTCCAGGCCCAGAGGTCAAACAAGTAGATATTTTCTGGAGTACCAAGCTACCTTGTCCATTTAAAGCTGGATGAGGCCCAGTCCTTATCCTTAAGGGATGGTTCTCAAAGGGTGGTTTCAGCCCACCAAAGCCCACTTGATAGGCTGAGAACCCAATGCCAAGCCCTTCTATTTGTATGTGGGTCCAAGGCCTTCTTACTACTAATCCCCACCTTATTGATAAAAAGCTAACTAAATTCAGAAACCAGAATTAGCACATGTTCAGAGTCTACTTTGGTATTCTACTATCTGGACTGGGTTTTGAAGGAGGGATACGAGTTTTGCACAGATTGTGCACAGCTCTGGTTCCATTTGCCAAGCCATGTGCTTCTAGAGCCACATCTGTGTAGACGCACAGAGGCAAGTTAGAAATGTACTTGCCATAGCTCTGGATATGAATTTTACAACACAAGGGTGCATCATGCTTCTTTATAGGTTAGTTATTGTAAAAAAAAAAAGATTGTTAATGGGGGGAATGAGGACACATTTGTAATACCTTAACTAATAAAGAATTTAAAAAAAATTTGAACAGCTACAGATAATATTAAAGCCCTCCTTTAACCACCACCCACCATTCCAGAGCCCTCCCCAAATATAACCACATCTTCCTTTTACTAAATGATGCAAATCTTGCTTTGCCCCCACCTCCCAGGTTATCAGGAACTTAATTTCAGACATAGTTGAGGAGGAGAAGCTCCTCATCCTCCCCAAGGTCATGTAAGAACCCTAGCGGGGTAGTGGAAGGGGTTCCTTGCATAGGTGAAGATTTAGGCAGTGCCTCTGGAGTCCCCAGTCACACTGAGCTGGGTGCTCAGTGACCTCACTGGCTGGTTCTTTTGAGGACAGCAGGCAGCTCCTTAGAGCATCCATTCCTCAGTCCCCTGGAGTGTCACAGCACAGCATGCAGACTTCTGACCTCTAGTCTCAACAAGCTACTGGGCAGAGGCACCCTCACTCCCACCAAGTCCCAGGGAACCTGAGTTCCCCCATAGTTGCCTCCTGGGTCTCACCACCCCCACAGCAGTAATCTCTCGCACCTTTCATGTCCAGAACACCATCAGGGTCGCCTTGAGTTGGGAGTGCTTTCCAACCCGTGCTCTCTTAGCCTTTTCATTATAAATCACCAAAGCTAATTGTTTTCCATGTAGTTGGCTGCAAGTCATTGAGTGAATGACCCCATTGTGCCGTGATACATATTTGCAGCAAAGGTATCTGGGGCCTATTATTTACCAACTAGAAGCCCAGTGCATGAAATTCGTGCACTTGGGGGGGGGGGGCTCCCTCAGCCCGGTCTGCGCCCTCTCGCAGTCCCGGAGCCCTCGGGGGATGTCTGACTGATGGCTTAGGCCCAATCCGTCAGTAGGATATTCTTAGCACTGCTGTGGAGGCGGGGGAGGCTCCCACCACTGCTGCTGTGCTCGCCAGCCATGAGCCTGGCTTCTGGCTGAGCGGTGCTCCCCGTGGAAGCGCACTGACCACCAGGGGGCGGCTTCTGTGTTAAGCAGGATCAGGCCAAAACCAGCTCTCCAACATTCCCAAGGGGTCCCAGTTTACAAGAGGGTGCAGGCTAGGCTGAGGGACCCCACAGGTGCACGATCAGGGCCGGGGAGTGATGCGGGAGGTTGGTCAGCCGGGGAGGGACTGCAGGAGGGCTCCAGGGCATGTCCAGCCTATCTCGCTCAGTCCCAATTGGCTAGACCCCAGCAGCAAGCTAGCCTACCTGTTGGAGTGTTTGCTCCCTGGTGGTCAGTGCAAGTGGTTGAGCAGCCTTAGCATATCATTAGCATATTACGCTTTGATCGGTTGAACAGACGATGGGATGACCAGACACTTAGCATATTAGGCTTTTATTATATAGCATAAGTAGACTTGAAGCCAAGCAACAGGTATTTGCTTAAATGGTGCTATCACAGTTGTCATAGCTGAGCTCTTTTTCTCTGGAGAGCTGCAGAAAGTAGGGTGAGCAGACTTGGGAGTCTCTTGCTTTGCCCAAAGGGGCAGCAGGGGCAAGAGTCTGGGTCCTTGGCTCACGAGAAAGAAAGTGATAGCATTTGGGGCACCCTTTGTAAGCTGGGTAGCTTTACCTACAGCATTAGCTCAATTTATCTTTTAAGTCCCTGGACGACAGGGCTACTATTCATGCTTTTCAAGGAAGAAGCTAAAGCTCAGAGAGGCTGACCACTTGTCCACTTTTTTCAAACCAGAAGGTGGTAGGGCCTGGATTTCAGCCAGGGACGATGCAGGCCTGAACCAGGGCAGGGGCAATAGTATGTTCTCATTCATTTAGATCTTCGTTGAACACCTACTATGTGCTAGACTCTTCTAGGAACTAGGGAGATAGCAGTGAAAAAGCCAACGCCCCTGCCTTCAATGAGTTTCCATGTAAAGGTTAACCAAGATGATGTTCGGTAGTGATTAATGCTTTGAAGACAATAGGATAGTGTGTGTGTGTGTGTGTGTGTGTGTGTGTGTGTGTGTGTGTAGGGGAGTCAGGGAGGGCCTCTCTGAAAAGGGGAGATGGGTGGAGTGAGTGAGAAGTGAACAGTTGGAGGTGGGTCAAGTGGACGAGGTAGATGGTTGGCTGAGGCCAAATCCTGCAAGGCCTTGCAGACCAAGGAGAGGATTCTGGGTTTTAGTGTATAAGTGCTGTGTAAAGACAGGAGCGAGTTCTAAGCAGGGGAATGAAGGGATGTGATTTATATCTTTTAAAGGTCCTGTTTGCTGTTTGGTGAAAACAGGATGCTAGAGAATAAGAACCGAAACATGAAGGCTGAGGGCGTGGTACAGGTGAGGGAGGAGGCCATAGTGGAGATGGAGAGAAGGGGCTCCTTCAAGGTGTATCGCAGATGGCACTGACTGGACACATGGAATATGAGCAGAGGGATGTTCTGGTGCTTGCACGGTGACATTGGTTAACTGCTTGATGGATTCCATGGCTGGGCATCCTCTCAGTCCCTCCTTCATCTCTTCTCTCCAGCCTATTTTAGGTCTTCCAAGCGCAAAGCTTTGTCTCGGCAGCTGTCCAAGAAGCAGGTGAATTTAGCTCCAAAGCCTCCCAAGATGGACCAGCTGACTGTGCCTGTGGTTGACACTACGATGGAGGCAAGGCCCTTGAGCCTGGAGGACATGGAAGACATTGGCAAGCGGTACCGGCAGAGGAAGCGGCAGACCAAGGTACCCCAGCCAAAGTGGGAGGACACGGGGCAAATCCCCTGCACCTGCACCCCCTTCTAGCTGCTGGGACTTGGGAGCAGATGCTTTACCTTTCTGTTCCCTCGTCTGGATAATAAGAACAATACCTACCTCACAAGATTTCTGTGAAAAGGAAATGCGATAATGTTTCTGAAAGTATCAGGTTCCCCTCCTCCCATTCTTTGTTGTTGTTGTTGTTAATCCTCACCTGAGGATACTTTTTCCATTACTTTTTCAGAGAGAGCGGAAGAGAGGGAGGTGAGAGGGAAGAGAGGAATATTGATGCGAGAGAGACACACCAACTGCTTGTCTCCCCCATGTGCCCCGATGGGGGCAGGGAGAGAACCCAAAACCCAGTATGTGTCCTTGACAAGGAATCAAATCCAAGACCCTTTGAAGCCCAGACTGGCACTCTAACCACCGAGACCACTGGCCAAGGCTTTTTTTTAGATAGATTTTTAAAGTTTTTTTTTTATTGACTTCCGAGAAAGGGAGGGAGGAGAGGGAGCTAGAAACATCAATGATGAGAGCAAATCATCAATCGGCTGCCTCCTGCATGCCCCCTATTGGGGACTGAGCCTGAAACCTGGGCAGGTGCCCTGACCTGGAATTGAAACACCACCTCCTGGTTCATGGGTCAATGCTGAACCACTGAGCAACACCAGCCGGGCCCATTCTTTTTTTTTTTAGATTTTTTAAATTGATTTTTAGAGAGAGAGAAATATTGATGTGAAAGTGGAACATCGATTATCTGCCTCCTGCAAACCCCTTAATGGGGATCAAGCCTGAAACCCGGGCATGTGCTCTGACCAGGAATCTAATCAGCAAGCCTTCAGTGCCTGGAATGATGCCCAACCAACTAAGCCACACTGGCCAGGGCCCCTCCTCCCATTCTTTAATTATGACTTTGTATCCTGAGACCAGGCCTGTGTGTTCATCACAGTGGGAACCCAAGAGCCTGGCACGGGGTGTGGCAGTGAGTAGGCACTCCAGATATACATGACCAGTAACGGAAGGAAGAACTGATTGCCTGAATTAATTCAGCCAATGAATATTCATTGAGTCTGTGATGTACCAGACACTCTTCTACGTGCTGCAGACAACAAAACAGCCCCTCAAGAAGCTGCCAGTCGAGACAGTCTAGCCATGGAGGCAGACAATATTAATATAATACTACACATAGACACATATTTTAATGTCATTTATATAATAAAATGTTAGGTATTGGTAAATGCTATACCAACTAAGATCTGATTCAGTTGCATGACAAGAAAACCCAAAATGTTAGAGCAGTGAGTGGCAAACTTTCCTAGGGCCAGATAATAAATGTTTTAGGCTTTTTGGGCCCTACTGTCTCTGTCGCAACAAGTCAGCTCTGCTATTGGAGCACAAGAGCAGCCACAGACCTAAACAAATGAGTGCAGCTGTGTTTCAATAAAACTTCATTTCTAAAAACAGGTGGTGGCCCAGATTTGGCCCGTAAGATGTACTTTACTGATTCTGGCTTTAGAAGTTTTAAAAAGACAGATTTTTCTTTCCTTGTAAATAAATAAATAAGGCGGCCAAAAGTGGCTACACACTGCCCAGGCCTCTTCGACCTCGCTCTGCCATCCTTAACATGTGGCTTCCACCTCAAGTCACAGATGGCTGCACGTAATTTAAATTCTCTTGCAGCTAAACCCTTGTATGTAACATTTCAATAGGACACATGTGGGGCATCTGCACTGTACCCTACCGTATATATTACACCATCATGTGTGCACATCTGTATAACGGCCGCATGTGCTGACCACGTGTGATTTTTCTCCCCGGCCACTGACTTCAAAACCTGAACTTGGGTCCCATTCTTTGCCATTGCCCCTCATGGTGACCTTGTGTAGAAACATAGATTGTCAGCCTTCAGGCCAGGAGGAAAGAGGCAAGGTGAAGGGAAGTGTGTGCCAACTGCTTTTCTCTCTGCAGCTCACAATCCCCTCCATCCAGTACACGGAGCAGTGCCGCCTGGTGCGCAGTGGGAATAAGCATTTTGACAACCACTGCCTCCCGTCCACCATCCCCGGGGAGATGGGCGAGCTCATCAATCAGTTCCGAACGGACACCTTTCTGCTCTACCTGAAGTGCCAGAAGGTCTGTCAGGACTATGGCCTCCCGCTGACGGAGGACATCCTCATAAAAGGTAAGGGCCTCCGTGGCTGGCCCCAGAGAGATGCCTCAGATGTTCACCTGAGGTTTGCCCCTCCCCAGCTGACATGCACCCAGTCCAGCTGCTGTAACTTGTGGCGGGGGCATTGCTGTTACACGGAGTTTTAGAAAACCTGTAGCTCCACAAGTTCTACAAGCCTGGAGGTCTGGGATCCCCAGATGAGCTTGGGGAGCTGGCATTCTGGAGGACAGGAGTTCCGAGCAAGGGAGCCCTGAAGTTGAGCATAAAGGAACAATCCCAGTTTCCAAGAGGGAGATTTGGTAGAAGTGACAACTGCTATGCTGTACTGGGTGTTTCCAACACCGCCTCCCTAGCCAGGCCCCCTGTTTGATCCTTCTGCAGCACCGAGGTAGGAATGCACCAGGCAGGAGTCAGGTTCTGCTGAGGCCCTTTGCTCCCTGCTCAGACAACAGGACTCAACACCAGGATTTCCATACTGGTTCCACCCTGTGCTTGGGGGAAGAACTGTGTTTTCATACATCCAAACAGACCTGAACCCTCCACGTCTCCGAGTAGACTGTGTGCTTCTGAGCAATATTTCCATGATAACCACAGAGCAATGCTGGCACCCCAAATTGATGATTTTGTAAATTTAATGGGCAAGTTCCTCTCTGTGCTTAAAAAACATGAACAGCAAGTTGCATGAGGGCAGAGGTTTTCCCGTAGGAACTTTGCAGAAGCTGTGGCCATACTGGGAGCTGGAAAATGAGGTTCACTGAGAAAGGGCACACAGAGAGACTTACCCAAGAACAAGAGTTAACAGTCACACCCTGGCTGGGTAGCTCAGTTGGTTAGAGCGTCGTCCCCATACACCAAGGTCGTGGGTTTGTTCCCCAGTCAGGGCATATATAGGAGCCAATGAATGCATAAATAGGTGGAGCAGCAGATCCATCCATCTCTCTCTCTCTCTCTCTCTCTCTCTCTCTCTCTCTCTCTCTCTCTCAATCTCTCTCTGTTCCTGTCAGCAGGCTGGGGACTGAGCCTGAAACCTGGCTTCTCTCCACTGCTGGCTTTTGCTAGCTCCCGGGTCTATGAGCTTCCCGTTGCCAGGATCTCACATTCATGGGTTCACAGGAGCATCTGTGGGTGGGCTTCCTCTTGCCTTTGATTGACCGAGATGGAAAAGACTCTAGTTCCATCTGTGACTAGAGCCGCTGTGGGGACACTGGGAAGAAAGAAGGAAAGGAGGGGAAGAACAGCTCAGCCTGCTTTGCTCTTAGATGGGATTTCTAGAATACTAGATGGAGGTGCACACGTCCCGCTGTCCTGGCCACTATCCGTTGGCTATCTTTATGGCAGGGGCCTGCTCTGCTACAGACAAAGAAGCACAAGCACCGAGATGTCCGAGTCTGTGTACTAGACGAGAATGTGGTGAGCTCAGACTCCAGGTCTCCCACTCGTGGGCCAGAATTCTAGAACACTGAGGCATTGGCCCTCTCCCCAGTGAATATAGCTTCATTGTTTTTCTTCCCTCTTATTTTATAAATATTTGCTCACTTAAATTTTTTTGAAAACATAAAAATAAAAATCCCACTCCAGCCTGAGTGAACCACCATTAATATTTCGGTGATTGTCCTTTCACAAACTTATTTTTCTTTTCCATTTACACAAAATTATTTATGTAAATCATATTCTAAAAATCATGTATGTATTTTTAATGTACTTTTAAAACCCTATATACTTTTTTTTTTTTGGTAAGAGAAACGTTTGTTAGGTAAATTACAGAGGTAGAAAAAGTAATTCCTAGAAGAAACGGGCTTAGCAAGCAAGTTATAGAGGTAAAGGAAGGGCCCTTAGAGCTTGGCAGTGAGGAAGCTAAGGGTAAGGTGCCTGGGCCGGGCTGGGGAGAGGGAGGGGAAGGGAAGGGTGAGAGTATGCTCCCTGGAGGGAGAGCACCCTGTATACCTTTTTAAAGTGTTGGTGCTACATATCCCCTTCCCTCTTCTCCTTTCTCACCTGCACATCCCTGCCCTCCCCACAAATAACCAACATTAATAACCAGGAGTGTAACCTTCCCCTCATTTTTCTAGTATTTGAGGTCTTTGGATTTTACCAACTTTTTTTTTTAATTATTGATTTTAGGGAGAGGGGGAGAGAGAGAGAGAGAGAGAGAGAGAGAGAGAGAGAGAGAGAGAGAGAGACATCGATTTGTTGCTCCACTTATTTACGCATTCATTGGTTACTTCTTGAATGTGTCCTGACTGGGTATGGAACCAAAAACTTTGGCGTATCGGGATGACGTTCTAAATAACTGAGCTACATACTGGGCCAGGGCCCCGGTGTTACCATCTTAGGACAAGCACTGCTCCATGGCTGCAGGAAGATGGAGACCCTGGCCTAGTGTTTTTAATGTACTGCACTTCTTCGAAAAGCCTACCAAGGTTACCTGTGAGACTAACTCTAGGTAAGGAGAAAACTGCCATCAACTAGGTCTAAGTTAACCTAGTGAAGCTCAGGTAAATTCTCCATACACACCTCTTCCTGGGACTCCTGACAAGGACACCCCTGTAGAGTGTGCGGCCTCATACTCTGTCCTAATTACACCCCAGCCCCAGGGCCATTGCGAACCTGGTTATAAACTCCCTTAACTCTGGTCCAGCTAGCAGTATTTTACCAACTCCATTTTCTGATCTTGCAGTAGTTACAGGCATACCTTGGAGATATTGCATGTTCCGTTCCAGACCACTATAACAGAAGCAAGTATCCCAATAAAACAAGTCATAATCTTTTTACTGGTAGAGGGTTTTGCTTTCCATTTGTAAAAAAAAAAAGTACCACCTGTTAAGTGTGAAATAAAGCCAAATGCAATAAAACCAGGTATGCCTATATATGCCACGTCATGGTTGGAGGGTAAGAGACCCTCTGCACTATTTTTGCAATTTAATCTATAATCATTTAAAATTTAAAAGTTAAACCATGTATATAAGAAAAATCTTTTTAAACAAAAATGTGACTTTATTGTTTTTTTTAAAGACCCTTCTCTGCCCTCTGCCACAAACCCTCAGGTGTGTGGGGTGGGGTGTTGGGCTGACAGGCCATGTTTCTCTTGCTGCTCACAGCCCTGCTGTACCCAGGGGACAAGATCATTTTCCAGAAGGACGAGGTGCGCCCCATCCGGCAGCCAGGAGGCTACTACGTGGACCTCCTCCTCAGCCCAACTGCAGCCCTGCTCAAGTCCATGGGCTTCAAAGAGCTTGCGGCTAAGAAGACCAACAAGCTGAGTGTCAAACCCCCTGTCCCTTCCCCTTTCCCTTTGCCTCCTGCCTTGCTGCTGTCCATCAGCTACAGAAGCTGGGATGCTGACTTACTTGGGATGTCATATTGTACCAGTGTCTCTGTCCTAACCCTGCACATCCAACCGAGTCACCAAGCCTGACTAGTCCCCAGTGTCCCCCCTGGCATATGTCTAAGGTCTACAGCCACCTCACCTCACTCCCACACAGCTACCATCCTGGCTGTATCCTACGTGATCTCAAGCTCTCTGGAAAGATTAAAAAGAGAGCCTTCTTAGAGAATCAGGAGGCCCCTCAGCAATTATGGGCCCAGTGTCATGAGTGCTGCAGAGCACAGCCCCTTCCCCTGCCCCACCTTCTCTGGCGGGAAGGGGCTTATAGCTCCTGGGAGGAGAAAAGAACTCTGCACTGGGTACTATGTCTGACTCTCAGGTTAACTTGGAGTCCTCTCTAAGAAAATATCCTTCTTGACCCCCCAGGAGTATGCCCACACCTTTCTTCCCTCTCACGTTTGCATCTCCTAAACACTAAGAGTCCCCATGAGACTCACAACCAGGGAGCAATGGGCAGTGGCAGTTCATCCGGGCTAATGCCCTGAACCTGTCTCCAAGGCCCTTTCTCTGACTTCCCAGTGAGCCAAAGCAGTCCCACGGAGGCTCTCTCCTGTTGCTTCTTAGATCCTAAGGCCTTCCTTGTTTCACTGTCTCCAGCTTTAATACATATACTCTCAAAAGAACAGAAAAGAAAAAGACAATCTCCTTCTTTGGAAGGAGGTGAAACGTGGCAGGTGATGAGCCAGCTACCATGGTGACTGCAGACTGGAGAACAAGCAGAATCCTGCAGAGGGATGGGGCCAGCATGGGAGAAGGAGGGGAGAGCTGACTGGATACCATGAGGGGGGAGGGGCCTAGGATCTACCCATACTCTGGGTCCGTGCTAGCTGCCCACTGGGGTGGTATGGACAGAAGGGCTGGGGTGGGATGCAGCAGAGCTGAGTGGCAATCAGACAAGCTTCGGAAAAATGGACAAAGTACTTCACTCTCTGAGCACCAGCATCTTCATCTGTAAAATGGGCATAATAGCTCCTACAATATACAATGAGGACGAGAGAAAAAATGCATGTAAACTTCTTAGCTTGGTGTTTGGCAGATGTTGGCACCCAAGCAATGACTGTTGTTGTCAGGATGTTCTCAAGTGCAAGAGTGGCCTGGGCCTGCAGGTGGGCCCTGTCCACACTCTGGATGGGAAGAAGCAAGCATGAGCCAGGCAGGCGGTAGTGGCCTAGAAGGTCCTTTCTGATCCTGAACCGAGAACCTAGGAAGTGGGAGGGAACTTGAGGACAGGACTCTTGTCCATGCTTAGGTTGGCCACACCTATAAAGGATAAAGAAAGGTTACCGAGGGCGGGGATGGGCATTGGGCTCGTGTTGCTACTTAGACTGTGCTGTGTAAGATTCTGAGGCCGAATGCAGGTAGCTGGGAAAGAGTGCTGTGGTTGATTAGTGATGTCTGCCAGGCCCAAGGTTTGGAGAGTTGGTGTTTACCATCCTTATCTCCAAGGCTGGATTCAGCTGTGGCAGGGAAAGTGGAAGCTGGGGGCCCAGAAATGATTCAGATTATTGAGCATCTCTCATCACTAATCTCCATTCTGGGAAATTAGAAAACTGAGGTTCTGAAAGGGGAAGTGACTTACCCAGAGTCACCCAGCCAGCCAGGTGATGAGCCCAGGTCTGGCTGACCCAAGCCCACTATATATTCCACTGGAGCATGGGAGGACAGAGTTAGGGCCCCAACCCAAATAGAAAAAAAATTCTCCTTTCAAAGCTCTGGTTTAGATTCAGAGATGGACCCATCCTGAGGCCTCCAACTTACTCTCTGAGACCCCACCAACCTGGATTTCCCCTCTCCTGACTAGATATCTCTCTCTCTTATCCGCTAGGAAACAGTCAAAGAAAATGGACTTTGAAGATTTTGAGAAATTCACCAGGTCTGTACAAATCATCTAACTCTGGATGGGTGGTAGATGGGAGGAGGTCTAGCTTCAATTTGCGGAGGTGCCTGGGACTCTGCATGTTCCATGGTGCTCTTAGCACAGCATCTGGGGTGGTATGGGCCAGTGTCCAGGGGGAAGCAGTGCCTAGGAGCTGAGATGCAGAAAACAACTTAGAGTGCCAGGAAGACTTTGGGTGCTTTTCATGTGTTAACTCATTTCAATCCTCTCAACAACCCTGCGAAGTTACTTTTCACATACCCAACCTACAGAAGAGGAAACTGAGGTACAGAACATTTCTTATTAAAGTCACACATCTGTTAAAGTGGTGGAGCAGGGATTTGTGAGAAATGGCTCACCTGTCCAAATTTCAAATGACGGACTAGGAAACAGAAGCCTGGCAAAAATGAGACTTTTAATAACACTCTCAAGAGTGGGTGCCCATTTTACAGGGTCACACGTGGGGCAAGGAACATAGCCTATTTATTTAGACCTCCTCCAGTTCCTCATTGGCTGAGGCCTATTTGGTCACCTATTTCCTAAGAGGTCGCCTAGGTCTTACTGTCTCCCATTGGGTTATTTTTTTAAAAAAAGGGCTGAGGCCTTCTCTAGTTGCCTCCACCTCTCTTGTGGCTAGGGGCATCATCCTAGGACATGTGCTATCA